TAAAGCATTGGATCAAAAAAGCATTGATCTAGTGCTTTAAAAAAAAAAAAAAAAATGTCCAGAACGGGAAGTGACATCGCTCCGGTCCTCCAAGGGCATAGAGATGAACGGAGGCCATCTGTCCTTCACTCATCTCTATGCCCAGTGCCGGGATCGATGGTTTCTCAGGTAAGGCTGAGAACTACCAAGTGGCAGCGTTTTTTCAGCACCTGTATCTGTGCTTTTTTTTTTCTTCATTTCTGCTGAAACGTTTCGGCCACTGAAATTGTGGTGCATCCCTACACCTAATATTGAGTAGGCCTCCCCTTTTTGCCTCCAAAACAGTCTTAACCCATCATGGCATGGCCTCTGAAGGTATGCTGTGGTATCTGGCACCAAGCTGTCAGGAGCAGATCCTTTAAGTTGTGAGGTAGCGCCTCCATGGATTGGACCACAGATGCTGGATTGGATTGAGAATTTGGAGGCCAAGTCAACACTTCAGAGTTGTTGTGCTCCTCAAACTAGGGTTGCACCGGCACTGTTGTTTTTTTTGTACCAGCGAATATGGGTACTGATACTTTTGGTTAAGTATTTGCCAATACCTTTGCAGTGCAATTTGAGCCCACTGAAAATGAATAGGCGCAAATTGCACTGCAAAGGATTGCATGGGATTTGAACAGGAATGTGCTGCGATTCCTGTCCGAATCACATGTGGTTTCCTGCACCGCTCCTGTGTGATCCCAAGCTTGTCATAGTGACTCTGAGGAAGAGGCTGAGTCCTCGAAACGTGTCAGCCAGTTGGTAATCCAGGGTTCCATCGTTGTGGGCTCAGATGCTATATGGATTGAACACCTTTGTTCACGTGATATGCCTATGTGTATATGTCCATTGTGAGTATGATAACTACTTTTTTATTCTTTCAATAAATATTTTTAAACGATAATGCACTAGGCCGGTGCACCCTCTTTTTCTTTTTTCATTTGCACATAGTGACTTTGAGCCTGAGTTCATACGGGTGCAGAGCAGGGAACCTCCCTGTATGACGGGTTCCAGTGGCAGCTCCAGCTCCCATCAGGGGCTGCCGGCTTGGGCTCCTCCTGCCTCTCCCACAGCTCTGTTGCCTCCAGTGGTTTGAGCCATCCACTGGACCCCTGTACCAGGTTGCCAATCCCCGCTGTTAGACACCGAAAAGCCACTTCACCAGTCTGGGCATTTTAAATTCCCTGCAGCTTTCTCTTCGCTTTTAGCAGTGCTAACAGTACAGGCTAGACGGCTTCTGATTGGTCAACACTGTCACCTGGATGGGTGATCTGCAATCTGGTACAGTGGGGCGGGATTGGGTTCCAGTGGATGGCTCAAACCACTGGAGGCTGGGGGGAATAAAGCTGTGGGAGAGGCTGGGGGAGCCCAAGTCGCAGCCACTGATGGGATCCGGAGCTGCTGGTGGAACCCGTCATGCAGGGAGGTTTCCCATACCGCGGGTTTACACAGGAGCGGTGTGGGAAACCACATGTGAGTCGGAGAGGAATTGCAGCTCATTCCTGTTCAAATTGCATGCAGTTCTTTGCAGGGCGAATAATGGCCAGGAATTGCTGACTGACTCTTGTGGTGTAGAATCACAGTGGGTGTCGGTAGGGGGGCGTACATATGCGTGCCGTAAACCCTGAAGCATGCAGAGACGTACCAGTACATGGCATTGCCTGTACAGGCTGCCCGTCCGCAGGACATTGATTGCAGGCGATCCGCAAGTGGTTAATGTAAAGCTTGTAAAGGTTCCTACCTGTGGATCCTGCCAGTCACAGCACTTCCTGTTGCAGGCTGACAGCTGCTTCACAATTATCAGCAGCATAGTCAGCTTGCTCTCTTCCGTTGTCTGTTAGGCTACATATCATATCTATCAAATAGGAAGCCCAATGGGTGACTGAAGAAACTTGCAGGCAGGCTGACAACGCTTAATTGTGAAGCAGTTGTCATCCTGCAACAGTAAGTTGTTATTGCAAGTAAGAAAAACTATTTTTGCATTGGAAAACTGTATACAAGGAGATATGACGTCAGACATACTGAAAGATAGATTTAGGGTTTCATACACTTTATTATGAATGTAGATCTGTTTCTTTGTCCTAAATGAGCATCTGTTCTTTTTAACCCGATATGTGCCATTGAGTATTTACATTAAAGTGTGTAGATGAAATAGTGCAAATACTAACTTCTTGTCTGCTTTTCTTTTGTCAGATACACCCTCTGTATGCTGAGAAAAGAGACACTTATTAACCCAACACCATGGATAACCGATTTGCCACTGCGCTGGTGATTGGGAGCGTCTTGTCCCTCCTGTCTGTCATCTACCTGTCAGCTGCAGTGGGCACAGTCTCCTGGTACCACTACTTCACCTCTCCAGTCCTTGCCAACGTCAGCGAGACAGCAGCTAATGAATTCCTTGACGAACTCGAGAAGGCAAATGAAAAGGCATACACGGATGCACTCTATCATTGTAATGGCAGCCTGGGATTGTGGCAGCAATGCATTATGGTCTCACAGCCATATTACCAGGATGGTATGTTTCTTAATTCAGAGGGCTTCTGCGGGGGATATTCTCCCTGGAATCATTCATTTTTGGATTGTAATACAGGCCTTTCAAAAGTATTCACACTATGGCAATCCTAGAGATGTTATTTTTATAATATACCACGCCCTCCTCTCTTAGACCATTAGGTCCCTTTCACACGGGTGGACTCCACCAACCGGATATGCCTGCTCAGCGAGGGATCTGTCCACTGAGCAGGAGGATGACCAGTCATGGACAGAGCCCACTGTTCTCTATGGGGTGGACAGTGGACAGTATGGGGGGGACAGTAAATGGACTGTCATCCGATCCGCTAGATGGATGAGGAATAGATCCCTCATCTGTCTGTTTTTAGTGGATCGGATGCAGATGGGTGTAAAGAGACACATGTCCATTTACATCTGCCTCTCCATAGAGAACAATGGATGGTCCAATTGGGTCCTGTGAGGAAGATAGATAATATTTTTGTAATGTTTTTTTCAGTTACCAAGGCTTTAGTGTATTTTGAAAGGGTGATTTTTAAAGCAGAACTAAACCCTCCCATCTAATTCAGCCAAGCAAGCTGCCATCTTAGCCTTTGTTTGATCTGCAATTGCCATGATGCTGCACATGTGATCAGTTATGACTTCAGCCATTTGATGGTTTGACAGTTTGGTTGGGAGCACAAGCAAATGGGACAGTAAGAATTCCCAGCATGCCAGGAATGTAACTGTTTTTCTTTTAAACCGTTAAATTAATGGGTTTAATTTCACTTTAAAGCCTCTTTCACACGGGCGGAAATTCCTTATGTCCTTTTTTCATCTGTCCGTTTACGGATGAAAAATGGACCCCCATGTATTTCTATGGACTTGTGAATGTAAACGGATGAACATCTTTTTACATCTGTTAATGTCCGCATCCGTTTTTTTTGAACGGAAGAAAACCCTATTTTTCTTCTGCAAAAAAAAAACGGATGTCAACGGACCAAAAAGGGATCAAAATGGATGTAAACAGATGAAAAAATGGATGTAAACTCATCCGTTTTTTCTTTGAAAAAGCGTAACTAAAGAAGAAAACCAGAACGCCTGTGTGAAAGGACCCTAAAGTAGAAGAAAAGAAATCACAACATTTAGGCCTCGGTCACACCATACACACAGTAAAAACGATGGAAACTGATGCACAGATTTTACTTGCAGAGACATCAGTGTACATGTGTCCCTCAGTGAGTTTTAGGCTGCCTGTCAGTAGGCATCAGACAGGCGTTTGGGAAGCATTTTTAACGCTTCTCAAACACCTATGAAAATTCTGCACATGGCAGCACACAATGCTGTTCACACGGAAGCGTTAGCATCACATTTTGGCAACACTGATGCCTTGTGTCATGTCAGAAAGAGTTGAAGCTTCCCATTCAAGTCTATGGTGCTGCTCCGCAAACGCCCGGCAGGCGTTTGCGTCGCGGTTGCAAGGCGGTAGTGAGGCGGTTGCAGAGCGTTAATACCATTTAACTTCATTATATTAGTTTGTGGTGCGTTTTTAACGCTTGGCAAACGCCTAACAACCACCTCAAAACCGCGCCAGGGGCGTTTTGTGAGTGTTCGGGGAGCATTTGAGGAGCGTTAAAAATGCTTCACAAACGCCTGTCAAACGCTATAGGGGCGTTTGGCAAGAGTTAGAAATAAAGTCAAGTGTGGACGAGCCCTTATACACATTGCAGATTCCTGCACAGAACAAAATCTGCATATAACACTAGTGCTGTTGTGTGAACAGGGCACAGAGAACAATTGATTGCATTGTGCCCTTGCAGAATGTGTGCAGAAAACTTCCATCTCTGCACCATGGTGTGTGAACGAGCCCTTAAATGTTGCTTGCACTTACTTCTGATTGACACTATAAACACTTTAAAAAAAAAATACTGCTAAGCTTATATCACAGCACATGAGTTATAATTTCCCATGTCCACCAAAGACCAGCACCCAAGGAGAAGATGCTGGTGAGGGAACCCTCCTGGACTTCCGATCGTTAGAGAAGAGGTAAGTATACTGACTTTAGTCCTGCTTTACCTCCTAACTTTTGATCTTGGTAAACTGCAAATAAGAATGATGCAGACTTGTACAAGGATTACAGTATAAAGTATAGCGCCCTAGCGATGCACATGCCTGCAGAAAAGTTCACTACCCCCCAAATGCTTTCATGTTCTGATCGGGCAGTGCTCTGGTACATTCTGGTAGGGGTGGAACTTGCCCACCTTTCACACATTTCCATTGGCCAGTGAGGAGTAAGATTTTTGTATCACTTAACTGTGTCAATGTCTTCATTCTTGGATCTACTGTATAGGATGTGTATTGTGTACCCTACCTACCACCTTCCTTTACCACCGTGTTTTTTGTCTATGAATGACAGTTCCACTTTACCCCCTATTTTCTCCCCTCTGACTGTGTTGTCTTCTATGCATTAACTTACAGAGGTTCTGCCTGAATTCCGGTGTGTATCGCTGTCCTTCTCTGACCAGTTCTTAGAGAAGTACACCCAACCTGGGAACCACAACTCTGAGGTTGATCTGATCCGGACGTGTAAGTAGGAATATTGAACTTCTGTGTTGTATGAAAAAAATCACACACAGGCTCTACCCATTGATCAGAGATGTAGTATCAAAAGATAAAACTGGCATATCAATGTTTGGTTGCATCTAAACCCAAAAAAAACAAATCTATAGTTTTTCTCTTTATTGTCATCTGGTGGTTCTGTCAGTAGTACACTTCCTGTGCTAGAGTGACAATGCTCACTCACCCTTTGATATCAGGACAACAAAACAAGATAGGACCATGGAACCCCGCTCCTTTCCTATTCTGTAGTTTTCACAGACAGCTGAGAACAATGCAGTCGATATTGGTCAGTACAGGCCTAAAGTACAGGAAGTTAACAGGTCAAAAGATTTTGTGATCAACGCATATTTTTTTCTTTTAGCTCTGGTTCACACATATGCCATTCTGGATGCGTTTTCAAATGCACAGATTCGCAGGACAGGCTACATGTTATTGTTTTCTATTGAGATGGTGCGTTTTGATTGCAATAAACAAAAAGGGTCCTGTGTGAGTTTGGAGCAGTGCATTCCAAACTCTCATGCGATAAAGTATATCGGCATGCGGAGAGAAATGTTCACATAGGAGTGCGCTTCAAATGTGATTTTGCCTTAAAGTGAATGGATGGCCTTGCGGCATCATAAGGAGTAGAAGGCATGTCGGCATAGCAGCATTGTCAGCAGCAGTACTGATTGCAGTAAAAACGCAAGGGCATTCACACAGATTTGCATCCCCTAATCACAGTGAGATTTTAAGATGCATATATGTGAACCCAGGCTTATTCTCCTTCATTAAAGTTTTATAAATGTGAGAATACTTACAAATTCTGTAAAAGAGAATATCGCAGATAGCAGTTTGCATTTTCAGGTAAACAAGGCATGATCAATGCTTATTTTTTTAACTGATCCAACCAAACAGTTTCAATGGTATATTTAACAGATCAAAAGGGATTAAACGACTAATGTTTATTGTTAGAGTTTACATGACTATCCCTTGTAATAATATATGTTGGCTTGGAAAATAAGGGATGTTTAATGTGTACTTTAGCTTTTGAAAGCTTCCCTTTGTTTAACAAATGATTAGATGACAAATGCTGAATTTGGGCACTGGGATGACTTTAGTTTCTTAACTGCTATATGATTAAAGCTGGAATAGCATAGCTTGGCAATGTTCTTAAAATATTACATATGTTATTGTGTAAGGGAACAGGGCAGTTTATTGCACCTATATACCTGTAATCTCTACCATGATGCTCTTTTTGTCCATCGGAATCATGAGAAATACCTGTCCAGGTATGGAGGAGAATGTGATTCACTCCTCTTCCTTCCATAGTGCAGCATTGGGTGCCTGGGTGGCCAATGACTAGACTCCAGCATTGCCACATAGAGGCAGGGAGAGAGTCTTTAAGTTTTGCCTCTCAACTTGAAGAGTCAACCTTCATGATCTTGTTTCGAGATAAGTGATTCCGAATGTCTTGAAGCCACAGATAACATAACAGCCAGACAACTATTATCTGAGTATTCAGCATTGTTACATAGTTAATCTGGTAATCTGGTTGAAAAAAGACACAAGCTCATCCAGTTCAACCAACAGGAAGAAAAAACACACAAATAGAAAACGTTCATATACACAATCCTATACCCACAGTTGATAGCAAAAACCCCAATACAGCATGATCCAATTTGCTTCAGCAAGGGAAAAAAATTCCTTCTTGATCCCCCCGAGAGGCAATCAGATATTCCCTGGATCAACTTTACCTATAAATGTTAGTATCCAGTTATATTCTCTGTATTTAGGAAAGAATCCAGGACTTTTTTGAAGCAATCTACTGAGCTGGCCAGAACCAACTCTTCAGGGAGTCTATTCCACATTTTCACAGCTCTCACTGTGAAGAAACCTTTCTGTGTTTGGAGATTAAATTTTTTTTCCTCCAGATGTAAAGAGTACCCCCTTGTCCTCTGTGATGACCTCAAGGTGCATAACTCTACACCGAGTTCACTGTATGCACCACTGATGTATTTATAGATGGAGATCATATCCCCCTTATGTATTATACATGGAGATCATATGCCCCCTTATGTATTATACATGGAGATCATATCCCCCCTTATGTATTATACATGGAGATCATATCCCCCCTTATGTATTATACATGGAGATCGTATCCTCCCCTTATGTATTATACATGGAGATCGTATCCTCCCTTATGTATTATACATGGAGATCATATCCCCCTTATGTATTATAGATGGAGATCATATCCTCCCTTATGTATTATACATGGTGATCATATCCCCCCTTATGTATTATACATGGAGATCATATCCCCCTTATGTATTATACATGGTGATCATATCCCCCCTTATGTATTATACATGGTGATCATTTCCCCCTTATGTATTATACATGGTGATCATATCCCCCCTTATGTATTATACATGGAGATCATATCCCCTTTTATGTACTTATACATGATGATCATATCCCCCCTTATGTATTATACATGGAGATCATATCCCCTCTTATGTATTATACATGGAGATCATATCCCCCTTATGTATTTACACATGGAGATCATATCCCCCCTTATGTATTATACATGGAGATCATATCCCCCCTTATGTATTATACATGGAGATCATATCCCCCTTATGTATTATACATGGAGATCATATCCCCTTTATGTATTATGCATGGAGATCATATCCCCCCTTATGTATTTATACATGGTGATCATATCCCCCTTATGTATTATACATGGGGATCATATCCCCCCTTATGTATTTATACATGGAGATCATATCCCCCCTTATGTATTTATACATGGAGATCATATCCCCCCTTATGTATTATACATGGTGATCATATCCCCCCTTATGTATTTATACATGGTGATCATATCCCCCCTTATGTATTTATACATGGTGATCATATCCCCCCTTATGTATTATACATGGAGATCATATCCCCCCGTATGTATTATACATGGTGATCATATCCCCCCTTATGTATTATACATGGTGATCATATCCCCCCTTATGTATTATACATGGTGATCATATCCCCCCTTATGTATTTATACATGGTGATCATATCCCCCTTATGTATTTATACATGGTGATCATATCCCCCTTATGTATTATACATGGAGATCATATCCCCCCTTATGTATTATACATGGAGATCATATCCCCCCTTATGTATTATACATGGTGATCATATCCCCCCTTATGTATTATACATGGAGATCATATCCCCCCTTATGTATTATACATGGTGATCATATCCCCCTTATGTATTATACATGGTGATCATATCCCCCCTCATGTATTATATATCATGCATTATACATGAGATCATATCCCCCTTATGCATTATACATGGAGATCATATCCCCCCTTATGCATTATACATGGAGATCATATCCCCCCTTATGTATTATACATGGTGATCATATCCCCCCTTATGTATTATACATGGAGATCATATCCCCTTTATGTATTATACATGGAGATCATATCCCCCTTATGTATTATACATGAGGATCATATCCCCCCTTATGTATTATACATGGAGATCATATCCCCCCTTTATCTCCTCTTCTCAAGAGAGAATACATTCAGTTCCTCTAATCTTTCCTCATAGCTGAGCTCCTCCATGCCTCTTATCAGTTTAGTTGCTCTTCTCTGTACTTTCTCCAGTTCCCCAATACCTGTTTTGTGAATTGGTGTCCAAAACTGAACTGCATAGTCCAGATGAGGTCTTACTGTTACTAATGATTTGTACATTGTAAACTCATTCTCCTGTCAAGACTGGCTTATTTTAAATAGATGTTATGGGCCTCCTGGGCTATAGGGTGACATGGTCATATGTTGAGCTTACTGGGTTGCCTTGTGTTTGAGCTAATAACATGTCATTGTTTCAGATCTTTGGCGGTGCCAGTTTTTGCTGCCGTTGGTCGCTCTGGGGCTCATATTTTTTGGTGCCATTGTTGGATTGGCTGGATGCGTGTGTCGCAGTCTTTACCCGGCTCTGGGTACTGGAGCCTTACACCTCCTTGCAGGCAAGTCATAAATATTTTTCTTCAATGTTTTAGCATTGTCACAGTTCATTTTGTGATTTTTTTTTTATCTTATCAAGACAATGTGCTGTACATGACTAAGTAGTGGGAAGGGAGGTGATCATTTCTTCTTTCTACAATAGAGCAAGAGTCCAGCGTGTTTGGAAAGTGTGAAAGGCAAAAATAAACTACAAGCCCCGTCTGCAAACGTAGCAGATAGCTTGTAGTTCTCAATGAACTACAAATTCGCTGATTAGAATGCTTGTAGTCCATTCTCTCTTCCTCAAGATTCTAAATGGAAGTCCATACAGAGTTACAGGCAGAAAGCTGGAGGGAGAGCATGCAGGAGCCTGACATCGCACGTGCGATCCACTTATAGCGAATGCAGTGACTGGCAGGAAAAATAATAAATGCACTTTTTTCGGCAAAATATGTGCATTTTTTTTTATTTTCTTCTTAAATGTAAACTTATCCTTTAAAGTGTTACTAAGCTCACAACAGTAAAATCAGTCTGTATAAGCAGTAAAGTATGCTCGTTATACTCATTTTGGAAGGGGTTAATCCTCTGCACTGTGATCCTCCCTTTCTTCCTGTCCTGTGTCCCCCTTTTATCTCCTGATAAGATATATTGGTTTGGAGACACTGCACATGCTCAGTTTGGTGTGGATTGCTAGATAGTTTTTTTTTTTTTTTTTTCTTGGGGGAGTGCATGTGATCAGCACAGGGCTAATCCGCACTGTCCAGACAGAGGTTAGGGGTTCTGCATCCTCCTAGAGCAGAAAGAAAACTCCTCGTGCAAGCTTTAACCAGTGCTCAGCCAGACATTGATAGAAGTCACAAGACTGTTGTATACTGCTGATGAGAAAAGGTATTTAGCAGTTTATATTTACTAAAATAATTGCATTTCCATGTTGTGTGTACTGTGGGAGACCAGATATGGTGAATGCAGGGTCCGGGGAGACCAGGACCTAGTGACTGCAGGGTCCGGGGAGACCGGATCTAGTGACTGCAGGGTCCGGGGAGACCGGATCTAGTGACTGCAGGGTCCGGGGAGACCGGATCTAGTGACTGCAGGGTACGGGGAGACCGGATCTAGTGACTGCAGGGTCCGGGGAGACCGGATCTAGTGACTGCAGGGTCCGGGGAGGCCGGATCTAGTGACTGCAGGGTCCAGGGAGGCCGGATCTGGTGTCTGCAGGGTCCGGGGAGGCCGGATCTGGTATCTGCAGGGTCCGGGGAGACCGAATCTAGTGACTGCAGGGTCCGGGGAGACCGGATCTAGTGAATGCAGGGTCCTGGGTTTAGTAACACTTTAAGATCAGTCCTTCTCCCTTTATTTACTTAGTGTGAGGATGCACTGTTGTTTTGATGTTGTTTTTCGCACTCAGGAGCTAGAAGTTTGGGCAAGTGACAGAGCATGAATTATCAGATATCAGGAACCTCGGACTCTCAAAGTAAAGCTAAATAGGGAGGAAATTATAAATATTTCACAAATAAGCCTGAACAGTTCTGACTCCTCATATTCTTGCATAGGCCCAGTTGTGACTGGTATTGTTCAACATGTACTAATGTATCCCTGCTGCTTTTTTCAGGTGTGTGCACACTGGGAGCAGTCCTGTGTTTTGCCAGCGGGGTGTATATGTTGCAGAAGAGCCTACCTCCTCCCCCAGGTGTGCGCGGGGATTACGGCTGGTCCTTCTGCTTGGCCTGCGTCTCCTCCCCTCTTCAGGTTATGGCCGGAGCTCTCTTCCTCTGGGCCTCTCGGGCCAGTCGGCGAGAATATTCCCTAATGAAGGCTTATCGTGTGGCATGAAGGATTCAGCATAGCTACAAGCAGTGTTCACCCAGAACTATGCCAGCAGGCAGATATTTGGGCACCAGTGTTCTGACCTCAAACTCTGGTAACATTAACTCCATCTGGGATTGTTCCTGATGTTCAGTGGCTCCATATTATTTTTATGATTTTGTTTTTAAGCAGCATTTCAGTCTGCAATGAATATATGCATATATCTTTCTCTCTGTTTTGGGTAAAGTAGGATATGGCTAGACACTGTGTTTAGCCTTTACTGCTGTCAGAGACCGCAGAAGGATGATTTTTGCCTACTGTTGAGATTGGCTTTTCACCTATATAATCCTATGGCAGGTCCTCTAGAGGTTGTATGGTGGGGCTGCTTTATAGGAATATATGAAGACCTTTAACAGTAGTAGCTCAACTGTAGAATTCTGATCAGAATTACAGACAGTCATAAATACTGATCTGTGAAAGGAAGCCTAAATTCCACCCAAAACACAGAAGCAGCTTTTTTTGCTACGTGAAGTATTGGGACTGCGGTGTTGAATTTAGGGCTATGTCTATTACTTGTGTTCTATTTGCGTTACCTGTTGTGGAATGTTCGTGTTTTTATTTAGGATAATATTTCTTTGTTCATGAATTCTGGGCAATAACAAGCTTTTTTTTTTAATACTCTTTTAAAGGTTAGTTTTACTGAAATTTGGCCACCATTGCTGATCTCCTAAAATGGATTGTTATCTGGCTCTCTCTGGCTTTAATACCTCCCTTATGAGAAATAAGCATGAAGCAAGTGAGTTCAGAGCATAGTCTTCAGCTGAATCACACACCCAAACTTTTTAAAATTTCGGATAGAGCTTGGAAGTGTCACATTTTTATTGCTCAAGAAACAGATTAACTGTTCTAGGTGAATGTGTGAACCATCCACCATTCTAGTCATCAACAGGTGCAAATCTGATCTGTGGTTGCGGAAAAGAACTGGGGAAAGAGAGGTTGACCGCACTTCGATGTACCAGATAAAAAAATTGTTTATTGAAATCTTCACAATAAAAATTGCATGAATCACAACTCCTTACACAGAGAGAGAACAGCTAACTGTCCGTGGAGTTGTGATTCATGCAGTTTTTACTGTGAAGATATTCATAAACTTATTTTTTTTTTTTTTTTTAAATCTGGTACAATGTTGGGGTTTTTCTTGCTGTCTCTGTTTTCCCACTGGGTAGATTTGCTCTCTATTTGTCCTTGTGACCAATGTCACCAAGAAAACAAAAATTTATGTAAATGTAAGTTGCCACTGGAACAGGAAGTAAAGCTGAATCTTTCAACTTGTTCCAGTAACAACCTTGTATTATGGAGGCCATACATGGTTCGAATTACAAACGATTTTTCATCTGAAAATCGAAAACGTCTTTTCGCTCGGTAATCCGATGGTGTCATCAATGATTTCGATAATCAGCCGACCAAGTCATAAAGTTCACCTCATATAACAGGCAAAACTTCTGTTCCTTTCAAGTCACGGCTCATGCACATATTCTTTTCGGAAAAACAATTGTATGATTTGACCATCATTGAGTCGAAAATCGGTCCTTTTCACGAATTTTCCAACATGCCCGATCACCGAAAATGGGAGGAACCATAAAAATTGGCCGGTGCATTGACCCACTAACAGCAAAAATTGGCTGATTATTCTTAGGTCTGATTTTCGGAAGAAAAATCAGTCGACTTTTGACTCATGTATAGCCGGCCTTATTCACTTAAGAGAAATTTCCTTTCATGTCCTGTTTGTCTTTGGGTGACGAGAAAGAAGGGAAGAGAAATCACACCAGTGGCTCACAGACTGGAAACAAAAAAAATGTGTACAATTATCTCCTATCACTAAGCCCCGGTTCACACTGATGCGGTGCGGAATTCGCAGCGTTTTCTGTCTGAATTCCGCACCGCATCAGAATCGCACCCCGTTCATGCGAATCGCTGCGGGTGTGTATGTTAAGTTAACAACACCCCGAAAGCGGTCTTCAAAACACGGTGCGATGTGCAGAATCTGATCGCATAGGTGTAAATACCCATGCGATCCGATTCTAGTGCGGACCAAAAAAGGGTCCTGCACGTTGCGGGTGCGGTGCGATTAGAGCCATACAAAATGTATGGCTCCAATCGCACGGCACACAAATCGCATGTGATTTGCACAGGAATGCGGTGCAGTTCCTGTGCGAATCACATGTGATATACCGCACCACATATATGTGAACCCAGGCTCAGATATACTTTTTGATCTGCATGCTTGTTTTGGATCCAGAAGTATTGGAGCCGCCATTGGATCAACAGCCTATTTCTGTACAGATTTCTTTGGAGGGGTGAAAACAATATTTTAAATTTCTGTTTCTGTAAACTTTTTGCTGCATTCATGGAAAAATAAATTTTAAAATTTTAATGCTAAATGGAATATAAGGAGCAATAGGGACATCACCGTTACCTGATTATTTAAGAATACTCATTTCTAGGTAGTGGTGTTTTTTGGCCATTTATTTTATATGTCTTTTTCACAGTTTGCAAGCCGGTTTTAAACATTTTATTACCTGAAGGCAGTTTAAAAGGGAAACTATAGTGAGCACAGGTTTTGCATTATTGTTGTAAAAATTGACATTAATATTTGATGTAACTAAAAGATCAGTTGAACTTTCAGATTAAATCTGCTAAATATATTCCAGGTGCCTCTGTGATTCAACCCTTACGGTTTGTTTTCTCTGGAAATCAACTACAGCCTGAGTAGAAAAGCCTGTCCCCTGCCAGCATGTAAAGAATGATCATTGCTGTCTGTGGGGAAGCGGTGGTCTCACTGTAGAGGTCTGACCTTTCCCCTGCTGAGTCAGAACTAGAATTCTCCAGTCAGCAAAGTTCATGTTTGTTTCCGATTGGAGAGCTTTTCCACTTTTTATGGAAAACAAACTGTAAGGGCTCGCTCACACCATACGTGCAGAACAACTGATAGAAACTGATGCACAGATTTCACTTGCAGAGACATCCGTTTACATCTTTTTTTATGCGAGTCCCAATGAGTTTTATACACGTTGCAGATTCCTGCACAGAAAAATCCACATACTAGTTCTGTGGTGTGAACAGGGCACGTAGAGAACAATTGATTTTGTTGTGCCCTTGCAGAACGCATGTAGAAAAACTGACATCTCTGCACCATGGTGTGAACGAGCCAAAGACTTTTGGTACCTCTTCTTCTTTTTTTTTTTTTTTTTTTTTTTTTTTTTTGCACCTAGAAAATATTTTGCTGATTTAAACTAAAAGTTCAGTTGGGGTTTGACAATTTTTTTGCTGTATCATATTTTAATTACTGCATATATTTCATCCACTTAGTACAACTTTTTTAATTAAAGTAGTATTAAACCCTCACTGTATGAAGTATTTTCCCCTCTAGCTCCATGTTACTATTCTTATTTGGCAGGCTATGAAGCAGTATTTTTCCCCAAAGACTAGATGTGCCTGTCTAAAATGTGTACAGACCATTCCTTCTGGAACGTCTCTGAATTTCTGGTTGGGGGAGTGCACAATGATCACAAGTGACCTCCTGTGTCTGGACTACATGGCACATGATTCCTTGCACCCAGCAATGCTCTCATAGAGCTGAGGCTGGTCCCTCATCCCAGACCTTCACAGTCCTGGCTGAGAGCATCAGCGTGGCTATGATGGGGCTTCTGGGAGGCCCTGCATAGTAGTGTAGCCATACTGTAGGTGGAAGTCAATGGGGCATACATGTTGTTGCAGTCTTGTGCTACAAAGACAAAGGGTACAGCAACAATTGAAGTAACTGAGGTATGGTGATACATACACAATTTTTTGAGGGTTTAATAACACTTTAATGAGATCTGACTGGTAGACTTGCATTGAGGTAACATAGGCTGATCCACACCGGTAGGTTGTGATAAGGAATGGTTTGCGGTGTATTCTGCAAACACATGTACCCCAGTCTGGTGTGTTGCAGGGCTATGGATTTTGAGTAGTGCCCCAACGTACTAACACATTGCAGGTGCGTTGTAACTCACCACAGTGCACAGATGTGAACAGTGCATTATGAGAAATGTGCTGTGCACCATTTTGTCACAGATTGTTCAGAAGCAATGCATATGAAACACGTTTGCACTATGGTAAAGTCTCACCAATGTGCACTGCTAGTCCGGAAACACAGCCTGCATATGTAGTCAGTCAATATAGCTGCCCCCATGTATATATTACTTGTAAAAACCTAGTTTGCAGTTTTATAAGACAAATTGATAATTTACATTACACTAAAGTTCCTCTTTAAGGGCCGGTTCACACTATGGCCGCATCTGAATCGTACAGGAACGCGTTGTGCGCATTTCTTTGTGATTCAGGTGTGAACCAACTCTAAATGTAGCGTAACCCCAAGCTCTCCTAGAATGCTTAGTCTACAATCGCCTGAGCTCCCACCTCACCAACAACAACCTTCTTGATCCTTTACAGTCTGGCTTTCGCTCACTATACTCCACTAAAACTGCCCTACTAAAACTCACTAATGGTCTACTAACTGCTAAAACCAATGGCCACTACTCCGTACTCTACTTGACCTCTTTGCGGCTTTTGATACAGTTGACCATCCCCTCCTCCTCAAAAAACTCCAATCTCTTGGCCTCAGAGACTCTGCTCTCTCCTGGTTCTCCTCCTACCTATCGAAGTGCTCCTTCAGCATTACCTATAATGCTGCCTCCTCCTCTTCACTCCCTCTGGAGGGGTCCCTCAAGGTTCTGTCCTTGGACTCCTTCTCTTCTCCATCTACACCTCCTCCCTTGGTCACTTGATAAACTCCCACGGCTTTAAGTACCATCTCTATGTTGATGACACACAAATCTATCTTTCTACCCCTCACCTCACACCTTCAGTCTCCTTTCGCAATATAACCTACATATTGGCATGGATGTCACTCCACTTCCTCAAACTCAGTCTTTCCAAAACTGAGCTCTTAGAATTCCCCCCAGCCCGTGCCCCCTCCCCTGACT